TGGTGTGAAAAAGAAAGAATAGATATATAATGGGGTGAAAAAGATTTTGACCCTAAAATATTTATATAATATAAGAATTTATTTATACGATATATATAAATATATTAAGTATAAATATAGAAAAAAGATATTTATATTTAAAAAAAGCATATTTAATTTATTTAAAATATTTATATCCAAAATATATTTCATATCCAAAAAATGTATTAATATATCTATATATTTATAAATAACTTCTGAAAACGAATATATGATCAAATCGAATATATTCGATTATCTTAATCAAATCGAATACGAACCACAAATTAAATTCAATAACAAATCGGATACGAAGACGAATAGTTCAAAATTTCTTGAATTCAAATCGAATAATTGAGTATTCATTTCGATTCGATTCAGTTACAACCCTACTCTGAGGGCATTGAAGTCATGCTATTAATATAAATGTCAACATATGTAGGTCACACAATCTCATTATTTTTTTGCATCAAATAAAAAAAAATAATTTCAATAATTTACATGTCATTAATAGGGATGTAAATGGGTTGGGTTGGATACGGTTTTTGGCAAACTCAAACCCGACCCGCATATAATTTACACTACCCAAACCCGACCCGTTACACGGCTAGTGATTTTCGGGTTCGGGTTGGATTTTACCCGGCGGGTTAGTGGGTTTTCGTCGGGTAAATGGGTAACCCGAGTCTTAAATTTATGTTTTTCCCGACCCATCTCATTTCATATGAAGAAATATAATAAAATAATTTCACAATTAATTATAATGTAAGAAAATAATTTATTAACTAAGTTTGACAATAAAAAACTATAAAAAATATATTATTTTTGGAATAAATAATGAGATATGATTATTTATCTTTTATAGTCTATTTAATATTATAATGTTTAAAATAAATATTTTTTTATTATACACTTAACAAAAAATGATAATAAAATTATAAAAAATAAACTAAATTTAACCATTAATTAAAATTATAATAGATAATCTAATTTTTAAAAATAACACATGACTACTTTTATATTTAGTATAAGTTATAAATATATATATGTATATGTATGTATGTATATATAATTCAATGGTTGCGGCTAAACGTGTAGTGTAATCGGGTCGGGTAATGAGTTTACTTACTATACCCGACCCGACCCGACCCGGGGTTCGGGTAATATAATTCTATCCTAATTCGACCCGAAACCCAATCATATCGGGTTTACCCGACCTAAAAATGCGGGTAACCCACCCGTATAAATTTTATTGACATCCCTAGCACTCATTCATGCCAACCTTGTGTCAAAATGTTCATACCATACCATCATTTTCCTACATACTGCATACATACCATCTAAAGTTGTAAACATGTTAAAACGTGCAAACATATATTCCTTCGAGCCCCCGCAAGAGCACTGTACACCATCACTCCTCGCAGATAACACTGCTTTTAATTTTGACCTACAATACTAACCAAAAGTCTCGACGCAAATTATGGGAGAAGAAGAAAAATATATCTGCTCATTCGAAGCTGCAATTTTCCCTTGATTTAGCTGCCCACACTATACACTATTTTTCTTCTTTTTTGCTGAAATTTTGGTGGGGGGCCTCGAAAGTGTGAGTCTTTCAAAAATGGGGCGGCTGATTTGGTTTTCGATTTGTGTTTTCTTCGTTTTGAGAAAATGGGTTGTCGAAAGTTTCGAGCTTTATGATACGGCGGCGTTCGCGGAGTCTGTTTATGGAGAGTCGGCTGCAGGGCTTCCTCCAGACACTCTCATGGTGGGGCACACTCTCGTCAATGGCGCCGCGGCCGCCGGAGCTGGTGGTTTTCTCTCCTTCCCGCTCTTGAAATTTTTAATTTTAGTGTAGAGGTTGATTGCGTTATTTTATATTATAGTTGTTGTTTATTTATGGATTTATTGCAATCTTTGTCTTAATTAATGAGGTTCGTTAATGACTTGTCTTAATTAATGAGGTTCGCTAATGGGTTTATTGAAATTGTCTGTAGTTTTTTGTTAATCAGCTTAATTTTATCTCTAAACATTCCCCCTGTTTTGTTTCGATTGCCTTGGCTGTATCCTCAGATTGTGCCTTTTTTTTTTTTTCTCCTTTTATTAAGTTTTAATTCAACTGTATAGATCTAATTCTGGAAATAATTAGGGTAATAAACAATTTAGCTTGTTGTGTTCATCGTTACATTTACATGAAATGCTACGGTCCCGTTACGGAACAATTTGGTCGGTGTTTGTAACCGTGAGATATAGTTGATCTAACGGTTACAAACCCCGACGGAACCGTAGCATTTCCCCATCTTTACATTTGTTTAATGGATTATGATATGGCCCCATGGAGTTGTGACTTGCATTAGACGATTAATTGTCAAATGTGCTTTTCATCATACACTCTTTCATCTTTGCAGATGATGCATACATTGATACAAGTTATACACATTTATTTAATAATTTCTTAATTACATGTATGCAAATAATTATAACCCAAATTATTAAAAATTTTACCATAATGGTAATTGAATAAACACTACTTCTTGGTTTTATTTTCGAAATTTTGACAAACTTAAAGTACTTGGTTTTTTTTTTTTTATTTTTTTTTTGGTAAATTCGCAGTATGTTTGGATGGATCATTGCCGGGCTATCACTTGAATCGCGGGTTTGGGTCGGGAGCAAAGAGTTGGCTCATCCAGTTAGAGGTGTGAAAAGATGCTAATACATTCGATACGATCTCTTTAGCTGTTTTTTATTATCAAGACTGGAATTCACACGAGATCATTGTCCGCATTTTGTATCTTGATATAGTTATTTCATGAAGAGAATGAGATATTACATTACATTATTTTGCTTATTTATGCCCGTGTGGTTTAATTAATCACTTGCTGTCCAGTGTCCACTCGGTTTCTGTAAAATCTACTCTAGAAGAGTGAACTAGTGAAAATATTATCATATTTAAGTACATATATACATACTAAATATTGCAAGAAGTTTTATATTTATTGAATACCGGAAATAATAACGTGAAATTTGGCAGGGAGGGGGGTGGTGCAATAATCTCAGAACCTGTACATACCGTAGCAAAACACGTCATGGCTCGTCTAATTTCTTTGAGGACAAAATACCATTTATAGGGATACTTAGCAACAAGAGAAGTGAAAATCCAGGTGTGTAAAACTAAAGGAACTTGTTCTAATCATATCAATAGCTTTAATCGATTTCCATTCCGGCGTCATATTGTTGTGTAATTTTTGCTCTTTTATACACTATGATCTTTTTTTTTTTATTATTATTATTTCAGATTTTTTTAACTGGAACAAAGTAAAGGTGCGCTATTGCGATGGCGCGTCCTTTTCCGGTAACAAAACAGAAACGGTACTTTGAAGTCAGCTTTCTTCTTTTTTTTTTTTTTCTTTTTTTTTTTAATTTCACTTTTGCATATTTCTCAATTATGTTGACTTCACAATCATTGTGTAGGTCGGTGGCTTGTATTTTCGAGGGCAACGCATATTCCAAGCTGTAATGAAGGAACTGATGTCGAAAGGAATGGGCAATGCGGAACATGTAATGATCTTGTTTCGTTTGATTCGTTCTGTTTAGTGTATATTCATTTTTTCTAAATAAATCTTCTCATAAATAATCACAACTTTCGATATCGTTGTGCTTTCAGGTGCTTCTTTCAGGTTGCTCGGCTGGCGGCCTAGCTTCTATTTTGCACTGCGACCCATTTCGAAAATTATTTCCTGCAGCTACTAAAGTGAAGTGCCTCAGTGATGCTGGATTATTTCTGGACGCGTAAGTCTTTTCCCTTTGTCTTTTCTTTCTTCTTTGTTCGGTTATTATGGTTACTGTTTTTTTGAAGTAGAGTTTCTTATTTCATCCTATGTAGTACTGATGTATCTGGTGGACACACTCTGAGAAGGTTTTTCAGAGATGTTGTGAAGTTTCAGGTAACGGTCGAGTGTGGGACAGTAAATTTACAAACCCATTCTATAATATCGTCGTATTAAAATGATATGTTTCCTTTTAACAGGGCGTTCGAACGAAGACAAGGTCGTGTCCCAAGAACCTCAACGGAACTTCAGTATGTCCATTGCTTTGCTTATTTACCCTATTTAGTTCCACAATGTCTTTAAAATCCTATGTTTATTTTATTTTTGTCTGTTTTCTCAGTGCTTTTTCCCTCAAAATATAATTGCCAACATCAAAACTCCTCTGTTCATTTTGAATGCGGCCTACGATACATGGCAGGTGAGAAACGATTCGGCCCGGAACTAAAACTAAAAAAGGAAATTAGAAAATAGAATAAAAATAGATCTTGTCTAAATTTTCAGTCTGTTTACAGATACAAGAAAGCTTGGCTCCCCGAGCTGCTGATCCTAATAACCGATGGCACAACTGTTCGAACAATATGGAACTATGTTCGCAACCACAGATAAATTTTCTGAAAG